ATTATGTTGCAGAAATGTTGTTTTTATAAAACAGTTACAATAAAACAGAAGCACATGCATGCATGTATGGATACATTTGTACATACACACAAGACAGATAAAAACCATAAATAATTTGTTTAAAAGAAGACTTACGTTCGTTTCATCCTTTATTATGGGAAGAGTTGGTGTGTAAACAACATTTCCTAAGCCAACGGAATCTTCTTCACTCAGCTCATCAACATCATTTTCCACCTTGATTTCATCAATTTTCTGCTGTAAAATTAAGAGTTAAACATAATTCCTTGAGATGATATGCATTAAATACAGGTATAAACTGGATGAGAATCTACAATACCATATTCTGAAATAGATCATGGGGTGCCATCTAGCTAATACTGGGTATTTTTGGAGACACAAGCATCACACATTCAACCCCCATAGATACATACACACCTTTCATTTATAAAGGCAAATTCCACACTGATAACTGTGTACAGGTCATGCTCATGGTAGTCACAACATAATGAACACAAGACGGGAATCATTTTCAACCACATTATAATATAATGACTGGAGACCTTCATAACTACTAAGTCATTTTTGTTTCTATACACACAAACACTCACCCAGGTCCCATTCAGAGATGGAAATATTTCTTCAGCTCTGCGCAATATGATTTTCGGTACTAATGTTGAAATAGATTGCAATATATCTTTAAGGCAGGAAACTTGTTCATCACACATCATGATTGGAGAATTGTTAGGAAAATGCCTTGAAAGAATGCTACTGATATTGCTCCAAACTTCTGAATAGACGCGGCCAAAGAAATTAGTCTACGTTCGCAGTCAGCGATAATCTTTCTGCATTCGAGTGCACAGAGAACCGGACTAAACTTGACCGTGGGTTTTCGCGGCTGGAGTTGAGTGGTTTATGTTAGCCAAGATTTCGGCAAACAATGCAATTGCCTTTTCGAGATGGAACATGTTATATTTAGTTTACAAGAGCAGTTTTCGTTTTTGAGGTGTTATGTTTTCGACTGTTACACATTGTGATGGAAACAATGCATAGCCAGTCAGGACACTATATATCTGAGCGCATAATTTTGCGTCGTCTAGTTTTTAATGATAATAGGCTCAGTGTTACTAACAGCCAAAGTCCTTTATCAGGAGTGATGTTAGTCGGACATAGCCGATATCTCGGATCACTGTCGCGAATATTTTTTATCCTATGTCAACGTTAGCAGTGAGGGAGAAAAAAATTTTACTCGTACCACGG